CTAGGTTGAAATGAACTTCTGTTTTGGATTCTCTTTAGTATAATTTGTTGAATTCTTCTTGAGATTAAGGCCAGATCATTTTCGTCATCAAACTCTAATTCTAAATCTTCTTCATTTAAACTTTGTGAGGATGAGGCTTCGGTTTGAGCTTCAGATTTCCGTGAGGTTTTGAGAGCTATCATTTTTCCTTTCCTTTGTGGTTTATCCTCATTCACAATTCCTTCATGAGCACGAAAAGGTCCTATAAATTTACTCAATTTATATTATCATTTTCTTCTTTTGTCCAGGTTGACTGAATTTTTAGAATCGATGGTGCAGTTTCTGTTGCAGTAGTCATATGTGTATAATTTCCATTTTCTACTACAGTCCACATGTTGTTGTCTTGAGAGAGTAGAAATAATATCATCTTTCTTTTCCAGTAGTAGTAGTCTGAGCCATTAAAGTATGGAGGTCTGTGTGAAGATCCCCCTTCCGCTATAAATTTTGTTTCAGCCATTCCTGTTAAGATCATCTTACTTTAACAATGCTAAGTGTTTCTTTATATTTAGATCCTGAAGCTCTGATTCCAATTGATGTAAAAAGTATTGTCACAATAAGGGGGGTTGGATTGTGCCCTTTTTAAAATTATATTTTATAGTGAAGTTATAAAAATTGTGGATGACAAGACTGTATTATGAGTATAAGATTAATGAATTATGTTATAGCTACCAGGATTAGTTAGAACGATTAATAATATGTGAGTGCGTGTTTAATTATGTGGCATAGATCAAATGCAGTAAAGATATTATAGAATAAACACAAATAACTTATTATGGTTCGCCAACTTGGTTATTCTAGTCCTCACACCTAGTGAGATTATCCTTTATAGATTCTCCTTGCAATATCTTTTATTTCTATATATTCTTAGTCTCACTAGGCTTACACTTCTGAATGATATTTCTTTCACTGAGCTTACAAGAGTGTTTGGTTTGTGTATACGTTATTTGCTAATACTACAAGCTTTGAGTACTCACTATGTGACTGAGGATAAGATAAGAACCGTAGCGCTTATAATATGATTACAACAAGCTTTTCTAGCTCACTATTTCACAGTGAGGATGTTATGAAAATTTAAAGGTATATGATGCTTTTGATTAATAATGTTTTTGGTTTTATGGTTTTGCGTGTATATGTTGAAAGAAACATAAGTTGCCTTTTTTATGGAAGAGCAAATATATTTGTTGAAATATTTGTCAAGTATGTTCTTAGTCTTTCTTCATAATTACGAACTGGTCCAGAGGATATGAATTGACATTTTAGATGTCCTTTAGAATATCTTGACAAATACTGGGGAGTAATTTTCATTTATGTACGGTACTTGTGGATACATGTAATTTACTATTCTTGAATAATGTGTAACCTCGTATAACTCTTATCCTCAGATAACTCTTATCCTCAGATGTTTCTTATCCTTGAGTGCAGCTTATCCTCTAAAAAGTTTGTGAGTCTTCAAGTTGTGTGAAGCCTTTGTTTGAGAATGTCTTGCCAAGAATTTTGATGACACGGTAGTTGACTTTATTTAAAGTAGATTGTATTAGAGTTTCTTTATCAAATTAGTTTGTTAGATTCAAAACCAGAATATGCTTCAACATGCTAGGCCCCATCTACAGGTGCGTTAGGCGCATAATATGGGTAGGTGGCATGACCAGATGCAATTACTTTATAGTGAAGAAATGTTTTGCTCGCTAGTCGAAGGGGTGGTGCCTTGGGCGAGCAAAAGCAGTCAAGGACACGTAGAAGGCATGAAAGCATTGCTTGCTGAATAAAAAAAGTTGGCTAGTCAGGGTGTCAGAGTAGGGTAGGAGTGTTGGGTGAGAAGACGCTGCGCCCAGCGAGTCTCATAATTTTGCCTATAAATAGAAGTTTTTCAATTCAATGTAAATAGAGTTTTGATGGATCAGAGGAGTATATAATTAATTTGAATAAGTTCACTCTTGTCTACAATAGAAGAATAAGAAAGGAGGTCTGAAAGGCAAAAGCGTTGCTCTAGTGACAGCACAAATCACTTTTTCGAATCCGGGAGCCCAGAGTTACCCATTGTTACTCTAACCATGAGAAAGCATAGCTAAAATCTCTATTGTTAGAGTTAGATGTAGTCATTATATTCATGTATTAAATAGGTCATGACGTTCTATGTAAATCTACTCATGATGTACTATTGGTTTTTTACAACCTAAAACTTATTTGTATGGTGTGACCTGGCATCAAAAGGTGTCTGTCATTGAGAAATTCTTAGTTGGACACAAACACAAATTTAAATTGCTTGGACAGGCTAACATAAATGGAAAAAATAAAAGAAAAACAATTGAGTCAATTCATCTAATACCATTTGATTAATTTTTCCTTTTAATTTATATATTGATGAGAGTGTGCCTAAACCATACTTATTTGGGATTGTGCCCAAGTAAGTATTTATTGTTTGTCATTACTAAATCCAAGATAAATCGTCTATTGAGCACTAAGCCTAGACATAGGTATAGGCTCAATATCCACATGTATTGTAGCATGATCGGTGTGGAGTCTCGCTACTTTGCGAACTTAATGTTTCGTGTTGGTTAATAGTAGCGTATATCATTTTATTAGGTAACACTCTATCTTACGGTGTGGAGACCGAAAGGAGATATGAATGAGGGTAACAAGTGGTAGTATTATACATTAAGTATAGAATCATATTACTAACCTAAGGATGTGCATGATAGATACGTAATGATGAAATCTATCCCTTGCAAGCATTCTTACTGTTAACACCGAAATCTTCAACTTTACTTTCTATCATTTACTTTTTGTCATTTACTTTTCTCCATCACAACAAACACAAAATTCCTTTCTTACTTTGAATAATAAATCATTACTACTCTATCTTTACAACCATTGATCTTCATGAATACGATAATATAAAACTTACTTTTACTGCTAACACAACATATAATTATCTATTATTATTTTGTACTCTCTGGAGTTTTTTTCTCTCATTTTTAATTATATTAAAAATATATATTGTTTATTTGATGGGATTAAAAATATATGTTGTTATTTTTCATAAAATGAAAATTGTTAAACTATCATTAATTTATTAAAAAAAAAACATAATTAATATAAAAAAATGCATTACCAAAAAAACATATTAAACTGTTTAATAATTATTGATTATAATTTAATAAAGTCTCCTTATAAATCGTGCATGTGCTAACGGACGTCTAATACTTTCAAAAATATAGATAGTTATGGGTATAATTTAAGTAAGCTATTATAATACACATCTATATCTGAGTTTCTACTCGCATAAATACTGACTTTTATATTTGTACATGTATTTTATGAATACCTAAATATCCATATACGTATTTGTTATCTATAATTTTAGTAAAAATAAATTGATAAATTAAAAATATAATATTATTTTAAAATTTTAACAACATGAACAAAAATTTTAAATTTTTATTATTGAGTTATGAAACGGTGAAACACTTTTAGCAAAATGCGTCATAGTTTAATTGTAAAGTTTTTTTTTATTACAGTAATGTATTTTTTTAAATGTGATAGATATAATGTTATAAACTCATAAAATCATGAAAAAATCCAATAAAAGTTCACAAATTTTTCGAAAATTCAACAAACACATTATTTTTTAAAAACATAAAAAATCACAGAGTATTATTATAAAAATCTCCCTCGTGTAAGGGTGTCAAATTCAACTTCGAGGTGGCAGGAAGATTTTCAAAAATTTCCTGTGAGATTTTTGTTTTCATTCTTCAAATTTATTTTGATTTTGATTTTTGAAGCTACATTGCAATTCGTTTATTTTCAGTGAAGCTTTAATACTCAACAAAAAATTGCGACCCTCCAAATCAAAAGTTACAAGTTGTTCATCCTAACCGAGTTTAGGCCAGGCCATGGAAAAACTGATAATGGAGAAACGATAAAACTTTTTTTTGTCAAAAGAATTTATAATAAATTCTTTAAAACTCTTGAATTTCACCCTCTTGCCAAAAATAGCTTAAAATCTAATTTGACGTGATACATGGATGATGAAACTCAGCCAAACTTTAGAGGATACCATAATGTTCTTCAACTATAAAACATTTTATATTTGTAAGAACTAAGAATCTTGATATCAGTTGAATTGGATCAAACTCAATATTCATACTAATTTAAAATTTTATTTTAAATTATGTCAAATTCTTACTTTAATTTTATCCTCAACCGAATCAAACAAATATTGTTATTAATTTGATTGATTTGGATTTACAAAATATAAGCAAAAAATAATTTTAAATGAAAAAATAGTTTACTTAAGAAATTTGTCACACATAAATATAAATATTGCGTTTAAAAGCATACACTAAATATTGAAAATGGATTGATTCGGATTAAACCAATACGATTGGATTGAGCATTTTACGAGTTCGCAAGTTGACCATATCCATAAACACCAATGGCAATGGTAGCAATACACAGCTAAAAGAAGAAAAATGAGTTTTTCTCATATGAAGGCCGGAAATTGGAAATGTAATCTACAAATAAAGTGATCATAGGCCAATGGGACTAGATCATTAAAATAAACTTTAAAAAAACATCTAAATTTCTCGTTACTTGTATAGCAAGCATACTCAATGATATCTATTTAATTTAATTCGACTTGAGGCTAATCACTTGGCAAAAATGACCTCACTTTACACGGACAATTGGTATAAGCAACAAAACTCCCATGTCTGTCACTCTACCTGCACCCATCCAAAATACATTCATTCCATTGTGAGCCTGGGAAGTTTTCCGATTTCGCAGGTTCAATGGAGGAGGACTCAAAGGTGACCCAACTCTACAATTTCTCTGCAAAGGACCACTCATCCGATCTAGGGCGTTGATATTTTTTCATATACTGCATTATATCAGTGAGCTCTATCAGTGATGCAAAGTAAAACTGGTTTTGTACGATTATATTTCAACTTACATAAATGATGTCAGAAGGGAGCTTCTAGTGATTCATCCCAAACTTCTGCACTTCCATTAGAAACATCCTCTACATCTTCTTCCATTGAAAGCCTAATATATTCTCTGTGAGCAAACCGATCCCACTCTGTCAATGTAGGATTCTCGCGTTCCTATTCAAACATGACATAACTAATCAACAATGATGACTCAATAGTTATATAAACTTTTATTGAACACTCATGTACCTGGCGAATCAAAAATGGGTCCCGAGATTCAAAGGCCATGAACTTATTTAGATTGAACAGGATATTGAAAATGCTTCCAGAGAGTTTACCGCCTTTCAGGTCACGCAGAGTGATATAGCTTTCGTTCTACAGAATGAACAATTTTAATTTTAAATTTAGGAAAAAAAGATGTCATGTAAAAGTTACAGGAATAATACGAAATCAACCAAATGATAAACTTTTTAACTGCTCGGTAAAAGGAAGATTGAAAAACAAACCTCACATCTAACCATGTCAATTATTTGACACAGTATGTCTTCAAAAAGAACGGGTTCTTGTGCCATGCACTCCATTCGATGCAGTTGCTCCTCATAGAAAAATTGCAGTTCATTCCTTGTCAGAACCCCATTTCCATCCAAATCAACACACTTAAACCTAATCATGACATGTCAGAGTTAAAGTCAACCGCTAATAAGCATCAACAGGGTCAATTTTCTAATGTTTCCCTAAGACCCTGTCTGCAGGAATTGGCAGAGTTTGGATGTGTTTAGAACTGTTTAATCCAAAACAGCTATTTAAAGAACAACATATTTGGTAGATTACTTTACTATGCAAATATGAGGAAAGTTATTTTTTTTCCTTTTTGGTTTTTGTATTTAAGTAGTTAAGAACAAGGAAACAACTCAAGTATTAGCAACTAATCTGGTGACATCTTAATAGAGCGGACCAAGTGACAAATGAATCGGAAAAATGAATGGGAAACAAAATACCAATACTCAAGACTTGGCTCAGATGTTTTGTCCTCTTCTGATAGTATGAAATAAACAAAATCTTCATATCCCATCTTTCCCTCAACTTTACTTGTAAACTTTCTTGGAACCTGATAATAGAGTCCAAATACGAGTCATCAACAAATGATCTTATAAATCATATAAAAAAAAGTGGTAAGTTCATCAACCTGAGAAAATATTCTATCGACAATTCGATAGGTAAGTGCATGATTGCCATATCTAATAAGATTCTCCTTGTCTATCAAGAAATCATGATCAGTATCCAGCTCCCAAAACTTGCAGTATATAACATAAAAGTGCTCATACGAGAAGTATCTACAGATAAATATGAGTATATAAGTATATTTAGTTCCTTTGAAAAACGAAACCAATGTCATTTATCAAAGTGCATGGTAATGGCCTTTTCAAACGATATATCTACCTCAAAACTTTGTTGATGTCTTCTTCTTCATCAGCATGCTGCATTGCATCAATTATATTTCCACGCTTCAGCTCCCTCAGGGTAAGACGGCCATTTCCTGATCTATTGATGAAGTAATATATTCTATATATCACGGTTTCAGCTGGGCCATTGGAAAAGCAAGTACATGAGAGCATGACACCACCGACAAAGAGGTGAGACTGGTATTGAGTGTGAAAAGTGTAAAGATGATTAACAAATGGTGTTAACAGAAAATGGGTTGGATAATATTGTTGTCGACAAATCGATAAAAAAAAACATACACAAATGATACGGAGACAGAAACCATTATTAGGATCACGTTAATAAAAAGGATAAGTCAGTGAAGCAAGCATAGCAATAACCAAGACGGAAAACAAACCATATCTCTCTTGAAACTCAGGTGTGCTCTGCAGGAACTCCAGCCCAGGATGAGTTGCCAAAAGCTCGCGCAGTATAGGTTTAAAATCATCCTATAGTGAAGTATAATATAGTTCTCAAAAAGGATGGATGTAGTTATAATATTAAAGCCAAAAAGATCAATAAATTTGACCCTAAAAAGGTAATTCATTTAGAATTAAATGGAAACTGAACAAATGGCATGTTTGATGCATTTCGTTAGGTCATAACTCGTGACGGAGTGTAATGTTCAAGGGAGGAGAAATATATGAAATGAAAAGCAGAAACGGAAACAAACCTGAGTAAGATAATTGAACTGTGGTTGCTTCAAAATTGTGAATATTTGGGTCGCTATATCCATCGTCAGCATGTTGCCAGTAATCCAATAATCAATAAATGCGTTCCTGCAGGATATTACATCAAAGGATAAAGCATACGTAATAAGAAATAATAACTACAGCGAACAAGATCATTAAATTGTAATTCTTATGTTTTTGTGAAAAGGTGATTAATATATCTTGTAAATTGGAAAGGGTCTTACAGAAATGGACTGGGAAAATTTTGCAGGACGGAGATAGTAATGGTTTCATTTTTTTTTCTTTAATGCTTTTTTCACTATTAAATGATAATGGTTTCCTTTACCAAACTGCCGAAATGTCAAATGAGGATCTTTTCAAGAGATCCGAATTCAACATTTACAAAATTATGAATTCTTAAAAGTTTTGCCACTAAAGATTCAATATTAAATTTAAGATGTTAAATATTCCTGAGTCACGCGCCCATATAACTTCAATATGAATATGTCTACTTTCAAGCAATTTTTAAATCAGGGATAGCGGCGTAATATAATCCTAAAAGCACTTTTCCTTTCTGAATAATCCGTAGTACTATTTAGTAACAGTATTAACACACAACAATTGTTATGGCATTCCAGGCTGTCAGCATCTAGAGATAACTAGTGTTGTTAAATAGCGGATTATAGCATAGTGAAATTTGAACAAATCACTTTTGTTCCACAATAAGCTTTTTAGTACAATATTTTGTCAACTAGTGATTGACAATGCACTGTTGTGTAGTGGAATTTGAACAAACCGCTATGTTCCACATCCCTCAGTTGACAACACTAGAGACAACAACCTATTAACCATCCAAACAGCAAAATCCAAGAACTACCGTTCATATTCATGGAATGAAGAAATATGCAAGTTGTGTTACAAAAGTTTAAAGTACAAACCTTGTCACAATACCAGCTCCATTTTCGATCTTTCTGTAAAGAGATGAGGAAAGAAAAGATGGTAGCTTGCATACTTCCTTGGTAACTGACTTGAATTCTGACATACCATAGAAAAATGAAAATCAGAACTGAGCTATTATTAACTCTTTTGTATGTTACAAAGTGAACATTAGACAAATAATCACTTTTGTCTCATGGAAACATTAAAAATAAGTTAATTTTAGTCAAAATCAGGAGGTCACGTGATTGCTTAAACAGCTGGAGTGTGCTGCTAATTGGAGGCTATAACCCATTTATGAGCAATATCTCACCATGTATCTGCAGCCCATGCGAGTGATCCGAGAATAAATGGTCAACTCTAAGCAAGCATTGTTCTTTCAGCTCGTTGGGCGGAGGACGCCCATTTTGAAAGTAGAACTGCAAGCACACAACTACTTGTTACAAGCATGAACATAGAACGAAAACAGGGTGAGAATCAACAAACGTATCTGATAAGCCTCACCTGGGGTATAACTTCTTTAACTGGCTCACTAACAACTTTAAAAGAAGAACCCAAATTAGAAGGGCCTCTCTGTTTCACTATGCGAGGGGAGCCAGATGAACTTCTTGGTGAAAGAGGTGGTGCAGTGCCAGCGGGAAACATAGAAGGCAAAGAATTGCTAGAAGCATTTGGACTTGAACAACCCGGGACATTTAACGGAACACCGGACTTTACATCATTTAGCAAGGATGTTGCCTACACAAAAGAGCCAATTAGACACAAATAGAATTTTTTTTTAAAATGCACGCGTGATATCCATAGAGAGGCTCAACAAAAAACATTAACGGTATAAGGAAACTCATCAATAAAAAATTAAAAGACATCTACTTGATAACCAATATCTCATTCGCCCGCTCTAAGTATCATCGATACATCATTCATATGGCTTGGAAGAGTAGGCAGCAGGAATTTAATAGTAGAGACAGATTGAGAGTGACACATAACCGTTCAAATTCATTTCATGTTGTCAAGTAGCAGCTCTAGCATAGCAGAATAACAAACCAATATTGTTCCACAATACATGATTTAGCTATGAAGCACAGACACCCAGAACACGATTCCAACACTGGTAATAATTTGAGAAAATATACAAATTAAACATAATCACAAATGTCGGTGCAGGCGTCCATACGGACACGGACACGCTTTTTTTCAGAGGTGTTAGTGCAACATTATTTAGCATAAAGTGTTGGCAAATAGTGGAGTCTATAGCAACACTATTGCGTACAGATTTTAAACATGCTGCTATTTTCCGCAATTTGCAATCGACAACATTGATTACTTCTTAAATATGATGATGAGGATATCTAGGAAATCAACTGAATTCTCACTTCTAATGAGGTAGATACACAGAATCCAACGACGATGACAAACTTTTATTGACATAGTAATAACAATAATGAACATCTCACACAAATCTTGTGGATTTTACTACTCCTATTCACTTAAGACAAATAATTACTGATTATTAATGCATCATTATCCAACCATAACTTAAGGTTAATGATTATGAATTATTAATTCATTATTATCTAACCCTAACTGTTCCTTTCAAATTTCAATTAATAAATAATCAATAACAATCTCGGAAAATCAAAATGAAAAGCTACATGTAAACAAACAACAACATCTATAACAAAAACATACCAAACGATTGCTTTCCGGAAGCGAAAGCCACTGCTGATAAAGCGTCTCGACGAAGGTGAAATTAGACTTGAGTCCGATAGTAGACACCTCCGGGAGCTGCAACAACTCAACATCCAATGATGCCACATCGCCAACAACCTCCATTCTCATAAAGAAGAAAAAAAATGTATCTCTAATCAACCAATCAAACCGAAGAAAGATCAAAACACAGATGCAGATTAGCTGTTTGAATAAAAACCGCGTGATTCTACGTCGGAAAGGAATAAATGCGCTTGTTATTACAGCTGTGAATGAATTCAGTAGAACCCTAGATCTTTTCAAATCAACGAATTTAAGATCAATTCTGAATTTAGATCGGTAAAAAATGAAAAAGCATGATCATGATGAAGAAGGATTGGGATGGAGAAAGGAATGGGAATGGATGAGTTTAGGGGAAATTTTTGCAGAGATCCACACGATTTTGGAGGGAGAAAAACAAATAATAGTGGATTAGACTGAAAAAATTACAAACACTGAAATTTATTTATTTTTATTTTTTATTTTGACTAAACTTATGTATTTTAATGATAAAATGCTAAAGTTTTTTTTGGTCAAGTCTAAAAAGATATCTTTAAACAAAAAAAAAAGTTTATTTATTTATTTATTTTGACCAAACTTGTGTACTTTAATCCTAAAACTATTATTTTAAAATGTGTATTATTTATTTTGACTAAACATGTGTATTTTAATCCTAAAACTATATTCAGTCCAAAAAAATCCCAAAACTATTATTATAAAATGTGTATTTGATTTACTTTTTTAATTTAAAAGATTTTGTTCAACATTTTATTATTTGTAATTTGTACTTTGCCCTTAAAATATTTCATCTCACTTAAATATATATTATATTTTGGATATGATTGTTTTAGTTTTTCTAAAAATGATTTTTGCATTGTTACATTTTTATGTTTAAAAATATTTTTTTAAAATGTGTATTTATTTATTTTGTTGACTAAACTTATGTATTTTAATGATAAAATGATTCTTTTTGCTAAAATTATTATTTTTAATGTTTTTTTGATAAAAAAATTTTAAGTTAAAAGGTTTTTTTCAATATTTTGTGGCGGTAGAAATGTTGAGACTAAGTCATTGGATTGACTTAACTCGCGCAGATCAAATAAAAAATATCGCCACCGTGCTTTATGTTTCCAAAGGAAATGGGAAAAGAGTGAATAAATTCAAAAGAGAGGGGAGAGAATCTAGGTACGGAGGTTGGTTATGCAAAACGAAAGTAACACGGTTAAAGGAACACGATCAGTAATAGGTAAATCAAATAAGTAAGAATACTCCTCCAATGTGAGCATCAGTTGATAATCAGGGAAAGTAAAAAAACATTGGCACAGCGGATCATAGAACTGAACCAATGTAGAAAGAATACCTTCCTTCATCTTGAGCTTCATAAGAGGCACGATGGATCTATACTTCTTCCGAAAATTTATAGAGCTCTCAATCTCAGGAATCAAACTCATCAGTTCCTCTATCTTAGGATCCTTGAAAATGTACTTCTGAGTCTTTCTTTTTCTAAAATCTATGGTCAAAAAGTATCTGAGTTATTTGCAAAATTCAACTTTAAGTTCCTTGAGTCAACTATTTTAAAGAATGCTCATGGGTGCATGAATGCATGATGCAACACTCACACATAAAATCACAAATATGGGGGATTCATAGGTTTGACGTCACGAGCATGAAGTCAAGGGTACTACCCACAAGGTATGAACTAATAGTTTATCACCTGCCGAATAAGGTTCTAAAAGGTTCCCAGAGTCTACATCCTCCCTTCAGATATTGTCAATGTCCTGATTAACCCGGTAATCGGCAATATTCTCAGGAAAAACTCGTTCGAGTGTAGTATCGTGTGACAACCACTTCTGAATTACCCCGTTATAATTTTCGCACTACACCTAAAAGGCTAAGACGAGTTAGGGGTTCTACGGTCCTCAGCTTCAGTAGGCTCCCAGGTCAAAAGCAGCGCGTCTTCCCGATTGCTCGATAAACGATACTACAATCAAAGGGGCTTCCACTGAGTGGGGGATCCCATGTCTCCTTTTTTGGGATTCCTTCCTCAAAGTTAACATGACTATATCATTTGTCCTATCTTAAGTTTTCCCACAACCGGGTAGAGGACTTATGAGTAATCACCAAGCATTCTGAAAACCAAGAAAATCCAGACAAACATATATATAACACATAATATACAACAAATAAAAGCACACACAAATAAATAAAGATAGGCTCAACCCACTTAGAGATGGACCAGCATTTGGTCAATCTTTTCCCAGTGAAGTCGTCAGTTTTCTATGGCGGTAGAAATGTTGAGACTAAGTCATTGGATTGACTTAACTCACACAGATCAAATAAAAAATATCACCACCGCGCTTTATTATTTCCAGAGGAAATGAGAAAAGAGCGAATAAACCCAAAAGAGAGGGAAAGAGAATCTAGGTATGGGGGTTGGTTATGCAAAGGGAAGGTATTAGCATCCTAAACATCTACGGTACTCCGCATGAACCTCTTTTAAAATTTGTGTATTTTGGCTATATGTGTTGTATACAAAAATAGATGGTAGAGATGAGAAAAAGAAGTTTTTTTTTATACAATTTTTGCACCCTCCGCGGTTGTGAACCTTTAGTGCCTACGTACCGCCTTTCGTATAATAGGGGATCAGGGTACTCGTAGTTCACATCAAAAGTTTAAAAACACATGTGTGTTGGTTAATTTTAAGAGAAGTGACATCATCGTCATATCTGAGTGGAAAACATACTTACTACCCACAATCATGAGAAAGGAGAATTTGCATCATCTCAAAGTGGAGGATGTAGCTTGGAATTTAAAATCAACAAAGCCTTACTCAACACCCAAGTGTAAAATATCTCACTTCACTACATATCCTAGAAGTATAGTAGCTCGCATCATTACAAGAATCAACAAGAGTTTAATCTTTTGAGGAAAAAGTTTTAAAGTAAAATGCCAAAGTGGCAAAAATGGTTTGAATGAGGTTGATTGACTTTTAGTCTTCTCACAAAAAATTTCAAAGTATGATTAAGTTGGTTAAGAAAATATTTTTTGAAAATGCATGGACCTAAGTCCAAGTTTATTATGAAAGCGGTTCAAGTTAGAAAACAAGAAGAGCTTTGAAAAGGAGGGAGAATATTTTTGAAATTAAGGATGATGAGAGGAGATGAAGGGACTATCCTAAAGCATAAGGTAAAAGTTAATGAAAAGAACGATCTAACCAACAAGAAGCCAACACTTGACATAAGAAGTCAGTGTATAATTCTCATCCTTTGGATTGAAACCAAGCAAACAAAAATACTAAGCCTCTAAGAAATACCAAGCTTTAGATAAATTAAGTCTTCACAAAAATTGGACAGAGTAACACCTGTATACAGAAGAATTCTCAATCACAGACAAAGTACATAATCAGAATAACCTGCACATAAAGAAAATCAATCCAATGTCTTGGGGTAAACCCCAAGAATTCTAGAAAAAATAACAACGGAATCACAAGGTCCCAAGGGTATCAAGGCTTCTAATCCTAAGTCCAAGAGGTCCACAACTCCATAATGCCAAGGATAGTAACCAAATAGTCCAAGTAACTTTAATGCTTTTAATATTCAAGTTGATTATTAAGTGTCTTCAAAAAGAAAATAAAATCTCATGTGAGCAAAATAAAGAAGACATAAAGATAAATTCTTAAGTGAGCAAAGATAAAATGACATAAAGATAAATGCTCAAGTGAGCAAAGATAAAAATGACATGGAATATAAATGCTAAAATAAATGGTACATAAAAGTAAAGACATAAAATAAAAAGCATAAAGTAAAAACACAAAGTAAAGTCAATTGTTAGTAAATTAGAAGATAGAGGTTAGTTGAATGACCATCTTGAAACTTATATTTGAAAACTCATTAGAAGATTGATAAAATCAAAGTTTCTCAACAACAAGTTTCATTTGCTTTTTTTCAAGTATATCATTCATTTCAAGCACTCAAGGTAACCACATATGACCAACAATGTTCAAAAGATTCACTTAGACCAAAGTTTATGAAGCTCATTAGAGGATTGATAAGATTAAAGCCTCCTAACAATGAACTTTAAAACTATTGGATCAAAGGTTTCAAATTAAATATCCTTGGACTTGCAAGCATAGATTTGGGCCACGAATGATCTTTTTCGAATCGGGACAAATTTAGCGTTATGTTAAACAATCGTAAGTGTAATTATATAGAAGTCACACCTATTTTGAGATCGCTCAATAGCAATCTATGTATTACATGTTAGAGAAATGATATGTAGATTATTCTCAAACTTGTAGCACAAGTAAGAACGGGATAAGATGAAGAGGGGATATATGTATCAGATGAAGTTAGGGTTTTAAATATCATCAATATCATTCATCCATTTTGGTGGATTTGGTTTTTAAACCTATCAACATCCAAGATCTAATGAGATTGAGGAACTTATCCCAAAATAACATCCAAATCAGGACCAAACAATATTTAATAAAACAATATTTAAGAGATTAATAAAAGGGAAATAATTGATAAAAATACACAAATTATATTAAAACACCAAATAAAAATCCCAAAAACTAGTCAGTGGTCAAACACGGGTAAACAAGTGCTGACAAAAAAATTTAGAATTTTTTAAATTTTAAAAAATAAGCAAAATAAACCAAAATTTGTGAAAAATAGAAGAATCTGAAATACAAATGAGATAAGGTCACCAATATTTGTCAAGAGGTCATTGGATCCTTCCATAATCTTTTCATTGTTTAAAAATCAAGAAAAGTATTTTTAAACAATTAAAACAAATTAAATAAAGTGAAAAAACATTAAAAAAAATATCAAATCACAAAATAAAATTGTGAAAAAATAAAAATCAGAAATAGAAAAATCAAAAGTATTTTTTAAAAAAATCAGAATTTTTGAAGTTGAAATGATTTTTTATGAATTTTTGAAGTTTAAAACAATTAAATCAAAAATCAGAATATAAAAATAATGTCAAAATAATATGGACCATGTGATCATAGTCAAAACGCATTAGTAAACAGATCCAAAGGACCTAGCGCACTGTGCTTGATACGGACCTTAGTGAGAAACACACAAAAT